TTTTTATAAAGATAATAATTAATTATTTTATTAAAACTCAATAATTAACCTAATTATATTTTAGTTTTTTTATATTTTAAAATGAGATGTTTATCCTGTTTTTGATTACGTTTATCTACAATTAGTTATACGAATTCAAACATATAGCTTTAATAAGTTGTACTTACGTATAATTTGCTTGTAATATTTAATTTTAAGTAATATGCATCAATAAACGATATTTTATACATAAAAATAGTTTTTAAGAGTTTTTGTCAAATACTTTATAATATTAGAAGCGTACTCGCACAATGCAGCTAGATACATCTCGTTTTTAATGTTTCATTTTTTTTGTCTCGGTCGATGTTATAATACGGTTTTATGTGGTTTTGAGAAAACGATAATATTTTTATTTTTAAATAAAATATAAATATGAAGATTATCATAAAAATTTGAAAAAAGTAATATTGATATTAGTATCAAACTAACTATTTAAAATTTCTTCTTTTTTGTGTATTTCTTTAATTCATTTTTTATGTTTGATTTAAGAAGATAATTTTTATAAAGATAATAATCAAGTATTTTGTTAGAAGGCAATGATTATTTTAATTATATTTAAAAAAATTTATATTTAACATGAGATATTTATCCGTTATTTGATTATATTTATCTGCAGTTATTTACACGAATTCAAACAGGAAGCTTTATGAAGTTGTACTTACGTGCACTTTACTTCTAATCTTGAATTTTAAATAATATGTATCAATAAACAATATTTTGCGTATAAAAAATAGTTTTTAAAAGTTTTTATCAAATACTTTATAATATACTAGAAGCGTACTCGCGCAATGCAGCGAGATACATCATGATATTAATATTTCATTTTATTATTTATCTCAGTCGATGTTATAATATGGCTTTATGTGATTTTKAGAAAGCGATGATATTTTTATTTTTGAATAAAATATATGTTTGAAGATATCATAAAATTTTGACAAAAATATATCGATATTAGTATCAAATTAACTATTT